ATTACCATTACCATGACCAAACTTAAATTGCCTCTGCAAAACACACGTTAGTCATAGTAATCTCATGCCGTCATTAATCACCGAAACCTAATTAGGGGCCGAGATGCTTTCACCCCTCTCAAATGCAACGTGAATGCAATGTCGTTGCATTTGGAGAGTAGGCACTACACACTAGACTTGGAAAAAAAAGACAAGTTACATCCAAAATCCAAAAAAAAAAAGATGCGTGCAACTCTTGAGCAATGTCGATGTAGAAAATGATGTCCTCCACAAGAGGGTGCTGCCTTCACAACACATCCTTCAACAAAATACCTCAGAGTCTTCACAACACAGTACATCAGCTCTTCAAATATGAATCTTACTTTGAAAACTTTTAACTCTAACGAGAATAGAGATGTGTCAAATCAAGTCAAAGGAAGCATAGAGATTACTGCTGCAAGACGGCAAGCAGTAGGATAGAATGGTGATGACGACAAATAAAAGGCCATTGATCATGAAGTGTAGCAAAGTGGCTACCAAGGAGACCAGGAGGGCATAGTCGCATCAACGATGATGATGATAGCTAAATCGACGGAACTCTGCTAACCAAAGAAAAAAAATAAAATTGACTGATTTGACAATAAATTTATGGACACACATGGCTTGGACGAACTGTAGTGGATAGAACTGGACTTGGATGGACTAAAATGCAACAGATGCAGTGGAAACATAGAAAATTGGCCTCAATATTACTAGCAGCAAGCAGCAGGACCAGAGTAGAGGAGGAAAGCAGAGCACCAGCAGAGGACCGTGGCACTTAGCAAAACAGAGCACCCGCACAAGAGAGGACTGAAGCAAGGACAGACGTCCACTGAGCCGCACGCAGACGTATCCTTAGACGTACCACAGATGAACAGATAGATGCAAAAGGCGGACGGAGTCGACTTCCACGAATGGAGATGCGCTGACAGGAACCACAAGCTGCGCGCAGACGAACGGGAAGCCGCACGACCGGGCGACCTCTCCATCCGTGAAGATGGCGGGTGCGCGGAAGATGACGCCGGCGGACGACGCTGCCGCGGGATCGCACGCAGGAAGACGCCGTGCGAGCCGCGCGAAGATGGGGCACCCGTGCGGGCCGCGTTAAGACAGCGCGGACCCATGTGGCGTGGCGGCCTGCCCGACGCGGTGGCTGTCCCCGGTGCACCTCTGGCTCCATCCATGGACAGAAGAGCACGAGAGTGGATGGCACGTGGGACCCACATGTCATTCTCTCTTAGAATTAGTTTGGGTAGCCTGTTTTATGTAGTATTGCTAGAGTTGGGAGCAAAATATCGATAGTATAAAAATGGGTGGCTACACAAACAAATAGGTAGTCCCTCCGGTCACAAAAACATATCATTTTGGGCAAGGTTTGGTCAAAGCTTAAAACTACGAACATTATTAACTTTTAGTAAATTAATGAGTTTTAAGATATATAAGTTATATGTATATATGTATATATTTGTATTCGAAACACTTGCTAAGACTAATGAATTTGAAGGATTTTAAGAAATATTTTAGCACAAATTAGGGGTCAAAGATACACGTGGACCTTTTAGAAAAAAATATATACGCAAAAATACCATGCAAAATCAACTGTGTCAATTATTTTTGGCCGAACGTAGTACATAAGGATTTTTTTTGGTGAAATAATTTACTATTTGTCCAGCGAACCAACAGCAATGCACAAAACTACGAATAATAAAATTTAATTACATATAGGGAAAATTGGAACATATGTAACTAAATCTGAAAACAATGAGGTCGACCTGGCTACGAACAAATGTAACACACACAAGTACAAAAAACAAATGGAAAAGCTTCTTTTTCAAGCACACGCCCTAGAGGTGCGGCACGCACACCACATCCACCGCTTGGCCCATGCACACCGCCCCCACTCACTCGCCTGCCTGATCGGACCACCTCTTCTTTTTCCCGACTCCGGTGGGCTTAGAAGAGAAGGGGCTCGGGGGAGGCAGGCCGGCTAGGCGGTGGGGATAGCTGGAGGGTGGCATTAGGGTTCTGGCAACGGCGGATGTGGTCGGGCCAAGTCGGGGTGGGGGTACCCATGGCTGGAGCTCGCCGTGGAAGGAGGAGGTCATGACCAGAGTTCGCAATGGCATGCGGGAGGGGGGCAGGGAAGGAGGTCGCCGCAGGCGAGGATGAGGACGAGGTCGAGGGCCGAAGACACTAGCCGGTGGCGGCGGTCAAGGAAGGTGGAGGCGGGGCTCGCCGGGGAGGAAGTAGACGGTAGGAGAGCGTGGTGAGGAGAAGATATGATGGAGAGAGGAACGTAAAATTTGTTTTTGGACTACTAGGGCCTTCATTAGTAGTAAGTACATTCTTTGTGACTATTATTATGTATTAGATTCTTAATCTAATATCTAGCTTCATACAGTTGGAGAGATCAGAATCTACTCAGCAGCAGCTTGATAGTACTTTGGAGAATGCAGTGAACGCAAATGAAGTAAAACATCAAGAACCTGTTGGAGAGCAGTGCCTTTGAGCTTTGCGTCCGCATCCACCGCCCGCGCCCACGCACACCGCATCCACCGTCCACGCCCTACCAGACCACCACCCCAACCCTTTTCTTCCCCAACTCTGGTGAGCCATCTTCTCCTCAACTTCGGCGGCCTTAGAAGAGAAGGAGCTTAGGGGAGGTAGGCCGGCCAGGCGGTGGGGACAGCGGGGGAGGGGGGGGCGGTTAGGGTTCTGGCGACGACGAAGGCGGTCGAGCCAAGTCGGGGTGGGGGTGCCCATGGCCGGAGTTCGCGACAGCATGCGGGAGGGGCGAGGGGAAGGAGGTCGCCGCAGGCGAGGACGGGGACGGGGTCGAGGGCCGATGACGCTGGCCGGTGGCGGCGGTCGAGGAAGGTGGGGGCGGGCCTCGCCGGGGAGGAAGTAGACGGCGGGAGAGCGTGGTGAGGAGAAGATAAGATGGAGAGAGAAAAGTAAAATTTGTTTTTGAACTACTAGCACCTTCATTAGTAGTAAGTACATTCTTTGTGACTACTTCTGTTATGTATTAGATTCTCTGAAACACTGTTCACTGAAAAACACTGTTCTGGCTAAAAAAACAAGCTCAAAAGTACGGATTATAAGACAAGCGAACAGTGCCTCACTCTAATATCTAGCTTCATACAGTTGGAGAGATCAGAATCTACTCAGCAGCAGCTTGATAGTACTTTGGAGAATGCAGTGAACGCAAATGAAGTAAAACATCAAGAACCTGTTGGAGTGTTACCTTTGAGCTTTGCATCAGCTTCTGATGGTATGACCTATATCTATTCTTATCCATGGTGAAATTGTCCATATGATACTTAATGTTTTCTGTATATCAAATAAGCTGGTTTCTAATGACTGGATTTCTACAGATATTGGCATACATGAAGGGCTGACTGCTCAAGATACAGACAACTCACATACCTAGGCTCCATTTGTGAATAACTCATGTTTATTGTCTGCAGTGGAAGACATGGATGTGCTTAAAGACTACGTTCAAGTGCTTAAAGAGTTTCCACAAGAACCTCATTTTCTTTCACTTCAACAGTATCCTGAGACAATACTAAAAGGAATGAAACTGGGTCGGCATTTGATGTCTGCGTGGGAAGAATAAGAAAATCAAGCATAGCAGACAATGAGGGATCATTTGACGAGAAAAAAAGCACACCTGCTGAGCTAAAGAAAAATGGATTTGATGTTCAATATGTTGAGTGCTTGCTGGATAAATTGATTTAAGTTGAAAGATGAGTACAACAAACATCTTGAAGAGAAATCCGCAGTTCAAACACAGCAGCAGCATATATGGAAAATTGTAACATATGTAACTAAAACTGAAAACAATGAGGTCGACCTGGCTATGAACAAATGTAACACACACAAGTACAAAAAACAAATGGAAAAACTTCTTTTCGGGCGCACATGCCCTAGAGGTGCGGCATGCACACTGCATCCACCGCCAGCGCCCCACCGGCCCACGCCCACGCACACCGCATCCACCGTCCACGCCCCACTCGCCCGCGCCCGACCAGACCACTGCCCCAACCCTCTTCCCCAACTCCGGCGAGCCATCTTCTCCTCAACTCCGGTGGGCTTAGAAGAGAAGGGGCTCGGGGGAGGCAGGCCGGCCAAGCGGTGGGGACAGCGGGAGGGTGGCGTTAGGGTTCTAGCGACGGCAGAGGCGGTCGGGCCAAGTCGGGGCAGGGGTGCCCATGGCCGAAGCTCGCCGTGGAAGGAGGTGGTCATGGCCGGAGTTCACGACGGCATGCGGGAGGGGGGAGGGGAAGAAGGTCGCTGCAGGCGGGGACGAGGACGGGGTCGAGGGGCGAAGACGCTGGCCGGTGGCGGCGGTCCAGGAAGGTGGGGGCGGGGCTCGCCAGGGAGGAAGTAGATGGCGGGAGAGCGTGGTGAGGAGAAGATAAGATGGAGGAAGCTTGATATTGATGTTTTACTCCACGCGCTAGTAGTCCAAAAACAAATTTTACTTTTCGTAGTGCTAATGAATGAGCCCTAACATATGAAATAAAAATTAATATCATTAAGAGGTCATCAACACCATCTATTGCTTATGAACAAACAGTAATGGTCTACTCTTAATGAAACATGTGTCAAGTGATACGTTCTAAAAAAAGCAGTAATGGACACTGAAAACGGACAAAATTTTAGTTTCCATGCAATGCTTACAAACAACTGTAAGTGTGAAGCTACAAATAACAAAAATAAGTAGCCAACTCAACTGTACTTAGCACTTAGGAACTTACGGTAACATACAAAACTAGAACACAAATGGTAGCGCAGTTATTAGCTTGATTGCATCTGAACACATGCACCCCCTGAATCAAGACTTATGACCGGCGTATGTACCATTTATTCATATCCTACCCAAACATGCATAACCAACAGCTCTACCGGATATCGCGTGCCAACCGAGTTATAAGCAATCCATTCAATGCATCTATCCAGAACAACATCCAAAAATGTTAGTAATACAAATTCTCATGATTGCTATTCTCTGCACGATCAGAAGAATGCCATGCATGAAAATGGGAAAAATGAGTTTGAGCAAGGGCTTTAGTGATGACTGGGAGATCCATCTCCAGGCTGATGAGCTCGATGAGCTTGAAGCCATCCATGTTGGGCATGGCAACGTTGCTGATCACCAGGTCGAACTGGTTCCCGTCCTTCATCTCCCTGAGCATGTCCAATGCTGTCTGGGCGTTGGTCACCATTGTGGCTGATTCCAACCGTAGAAACAAAATCACCCAAAACAATTCATCGTCTGGCCTAAAATTGTATCACAACAGAATCGGGGAAAATAGGGGCGGCTAAGAGGCAAAAGAACACACACCATTGTAGTTGCAATACTTCAGCTGCCTCTCTAGGACCTTGCGGCAGACGTGGTCGTCTTCGATGGCGAGCACACGCAGCCCCGCTAGGAAGGTGTCCGCGGCCATCTCATCCCCATATCAATGTTTTCAAGTCATCCAGTCGAACCTAGTCGCCATGGGACCGACTAGGACGATTAATCACGATTAATCGTGATTAATCGGACGACTTGTACAAGTCGACGGTACCCCTAATCAGTCAGCAGGGACCGATTAGGACAATTAATCGCGATTAATCGGACGACTTGAAAACATTGCCCCATATCGAAAACGTACACGATCAATTCCAAGAAAACAACCGCCGACCACCAAATCCCCGCAAGGAACCCAAGAAGACTTGGACTTTCTTACCTGCTGCAATGTCTGCCTTCCAAGAACCTCCGGGGAGCAACAGAGACAGAGGAAAAAGCAAAGTAAGCGAGGCGATTTCCAGGTGAAGAGCAGTGCAGCAGACTTGCGATGTGGAATTTCCATCTCGCACATTTTTCAAATTCCGTTTTCTTTAGGCATTACATGTGTCATTTACATTCATTTTTAAGCAAATGTATCATACACATACACATACACATAGTAAATGCAATTCTATATCATTTCCACTTGTGTCATTCATAATTTCATAAAAGAAACTTTACAAATTTATTAGAATGGGGCATTGTTCATATCCTTATGGAAACAACTAGTTATTATGAAAACCAACAATAACAAACCAAACTGCAGGTCACAAATTCAGAAGTTATGTTGGTTGCGCCTAGAGCTTACTAATCCATGGCAATGTATGAACCATACACACATGACAGGATTCAATTGTTAGATTGATTGCTCCTGTTACTTAAATATGAACAAATGGTAGCACATCAAACTACAAGCAACAATATTTAGTAGTTACTGATTGCACGTACTACATACTCCCTCCGTTTCAAATTATAAGTCGCTTTGATTTTTTTGGTACATCCATTTTGCTATGCATCTAGATATAATAATATGTCTAGATACATAGCAAAATAGATGAACCAAAAAAGTCAAAGCGACTGGTAGATGACCAGGAGCCAATATCTCACCATCTGATATGTCTTCGAAAGGAATACCTCTGATTGACCCCAAAATCTTGCCACGCAATATGCTCGCATAGGAGCTGCAGGAATGAGACGAAGACAAGGACATGTAACATGTTCGAGGTCAATGGTGGACTGTCATTTGAGATATTTGCAAATGAACTCCCAGAAATATCAACAGAGAAAGGTTTGCTTGTGTTCAACACCACACCATTTGAACTATTGGCAAAGGAGCTGCCAGAAGGACCAGAAGGGAAGCACCGGCTTGCACCTGGCAGCCCACCACTCGATACAGGTGCGTAGGACTTGCCAGAAGAGATGAATCTGCTGATATCCTACACTGGCATAGGCACAACATTTTTGGGCAGGTTGACACTCTGGCCAACTGGTTCCATGTTTGGCTGAGGAATGCCCATGTTTTTCTGGGAGCTCATGACCTGAACTGACTCTGTGGGCAGCGAAGCTTGCGTTCCAATTGCAGATAAGGAATTCATCTTTGCAAAATGGTTTCTCCACAGTGCTTCAGTTTCATCAGCAAATGGATTAGAATTCCTTACTGTGCCTCGTTGAGCTTTCTGAGGTAGATTCTGTACTTCTGAAATCACAAAATAGACAAGTACATTTTGTTAAGAAAAAAATGACAAAGCCATAAAATGAGTGAAGTGGGCTCTTAATCATGGGGTGAAACCAAAGAAATTCAGGAGAGAAAAAAACTAACTCCAGAAGTGCAAATGTGTATAACATACCAAACTCAATAAATGTGTGTACGCCACTAGAGCTTTGTGTGTGGCAGACACACGTTCCGGTCGAATTGTTGAAGTGTCAAACACACAAATTCCATTGACATAAACACAATATTGAATTTGAGATGGAAATTGTGCAAAAACAAGTTCTATCCAAATATCTTTAACAATAATATAGTGGATGGGAACACAAGCTAGTGATTGAGCAGAAGAGTAGAAACCAAACTTGCAGATGACTGGCGACATTCTCTTTAGTAAGGCCTTCCACATTCATGACTTCTAATATCTTCTTAGGAACAACCCCTGCATTTACAGCAACAAAATATTTGTTAAGTGAAACAGATTTAACAGAAGAATTATTGATAGATAAAGCCATGAAATGTGAACTTACAGTCCATACCAATCTGATTGATAGTTTGTACAAACTTCCGGTGTAGCTCACCAACCACTGGACCCTTTGCTTCTTCTGGGTTGATGTGTTCTCGTTGGCCTCATCAGCAACATCCACAACCTTTTTGTTTTTCCTTGAATACTTCTTGGTGTGGTTCGCTCCAACCTTCTCAACTTTATCACCATCCCCAGATGGCAACTTCCGAACAACATCATCAGTCTTACTATTCTTCACCACATGTGTCCATACAACCCTAAGCTGTTCGAGGCGCACCGGCTTTACTATATAATCACGGGCTCCATGCTTTATCCCTTTCATTATAGTCTGTGTCTCACTGTTTGCGGATATTTACTGCATGACATAACGCAACATAAATCAATTATGATATACAGAAGTCAACAAGCTCAATAGACTAGACATTGAATGATCTAGTGGCCTTCATGTTCAGTTGACTAGGCACATTTTTCAAATTCCGTTTTATCTTTAGGCATTACATGTGTCATTTACATTCATTTTAATCAAATGTGTCATAAACATAGTAGATGCAATTCCCTATCATTTCCACTTTTGTCATTCATAATTTCATAAAAGAAACTTTACAAATTTATTAGAATGGAGCATTGCTCACATCCTTACGGAAACGACTAGTTATTATGAAAACCAACAATAACGAACCAAACTGCAGGCCACAAATTCAGAAGTTATGTTGGTTGCGCCTAGAGCTTACTAATCCATGGCAATGTATGAACCATACACAAATGACAGGATTCAATTGTTAGATTGATTGCTCCTGATACTTTTTTTTGTGAACATGCTCCTGTTACTTAAATATGAACAAATGGTAGCACATGAAACTACAAGCAACAATATTTAGTAGTTACTGATTGCACCTACCACATATGAACAGTAGCATATGAAATGAACTACAAACAACAGTTCAGTAGCTAGATTGGTTTAACGATTTGGATTTATTAAAAATGTCTTTCGCAGCTGAAATTAACGAAATTCACAAAGTTTCAGAAGTTTCGATCCAAACTGCAGTAAAAAAATTAGATGAAATCTGAAAATGTGAATTTCTACATTCCTACACTAAAAAATGGGGACAAAACTGCTACAGCACACCAAGACAAGGCAAACATCCTGCTACAATACTACACAAAACCTCTTCAACAGCAACCCACCAAGAATGAAGACATTGAACTGGGAGAGTTTGAACATACAAAGACACGATCTGGAGCAGTTAGACACCCCAATAACAGAAGAAGTTAAGAAGGTGATTTTTGAGGCGCAGCCCGAAAAAGCCCCGGGCCCCAGTGGCTTCACAGGTCTGTTCTATAAAACATGTTAGCAAATTGTCAAGCACGACTTGATGCAAGCCATCCACCAACTATACAACCTCAGAGCTTCACACTGGAACCTTCTCAATCCAGCAAATGTCATCCTAATACTGAATAAAGGAGTCATAAGAGCTGCTGACTATAGACTGATAAGTCTTATGCACAGCATGGCCAAAATAATGGGGAAACTGTTGGCAAACCGATTGTCTCCGCATCTTAACAATCTGGTCTCACATAGCCAGACCGCGTTTATCAAAGGAAGGAGCATCCTAGATAATTTTCAATATATGCAAGGTGCTGTCAACCATTTCCACCGCTCGAAAACACCAATGCTATTTCTGAAACTGAAGGCAACTGAACAAGGAATCCTCTCCCAGGTTGGATCCGACCCAATCCGGATAAGAACCAGCTTATATGCAGATGAAAAATCACTTTTTATTAAACCCACACAGCATGACCTCACAGCCGTCTAGAGGATGCTAGCAGCCTTCAGGACAGCTACCGGATTGGAAGCAAATATCAGACGAAGGTACATCAAATTAGATGTGATGAATCGATAAGTGCATTGATGGGAAATTTTCAGGGGAAGGTATGCCAGTTTCCATGCTAATACCTTGGATTACCTCTGCATATTGGGCGATTGCGTAGAGAAGCAGAACAGGTGCTGATCGATAAAATTGGAGCCAAATTACCAGGTTGGAAAGGGAAGCTACTCACAAAATCTGGGCGTCTGACGCTGGTACAATCAGTACTTTCAGCCATTCCATCGTACCATATGACAGCATTCCCACTCTCCAGGGCTATTAAGTGTATAGGTAGAATTAGAAGAAACTTCTTATGAAAGGGGCGCATGATGCAAGGAGGGGCCACTGTCCAGTAAACTGGATTAGAGTATGCAGTTCAAAAAACAACTAGGAGGGCTGGGCATCAAGAACTTAGCTGCATTCAATAGAGCCTTGCGTCTCCAATGGGCATGGCTCAAATGGAAAGCTCCTGATAAACCATTTTCTGGATTACCAATCAGCCTCAACAACACAGAAAAAGAGCTATTCAAGTGTTGCACAGAGATACATGTTGGCAATGGTTCAAAAACAAAATTTTGGACAGACAATTGGCTCAAGGGCACTGCACCAAAAGACATAGCAACAAGCTGCTTCAAGCTTGCATTCCGCAAAAACCAAAGTGTTGCCAAGGCTCTCATGAACCGGACATGGATGCGCGGTCTAAGGCGGATGACCACAGACACAGAACTATGCCAATTCGTGCACCTCTGGGCACAATTGCAGGATGTCAACCTGACAACAGAGGAGGATATTGCTTGAAGGTTTACAACATCCAGATCATACACAGCTAAATCAGCATATGAAGTGCAAGAAATTGGGAAACATCCTATTAGGAAAGGATCCATTAGGATCATTTGTATTAGGAAAGGATCCATCAGGATCATTTGTATATTAGGATAGGATCCATCAGGATCAATCATAGCCTAGCTTCCTTGTGTTGTAGTACCTTCCTTGTACCACATGTTCACTACAGCTATATACATGACAGGCACCCCCCCCACACACATTAGGTGTTTGGTGTAATTCCCATACCTTTCTACATGGTATCATGAGTCTCCCACCCCAGCCGGTGGCGCCGGTCTTCCTTGTAACGCCAGCGCCATGGCGACCCCTCAACTCTCCTCTTGCCTCCCTCATTGGGTCGAGATCGGCACCAGCAGTCTTCTCTATCCTTCCATATGCCAAAATCTCTGTCAAGTCCCATGTGCCGATCACCCTCGAGTTGAAGCGCCCTAACTTCACTCGATGGTCGGCCCTCTTCCTCTCCCTGTGCGGCAAGTTCGGCCTTCTCCCGCACGTCGACGGCACGTTGGAGGCTCGCCCTGACGACAAGGCGTGGGCAGCAGCCGACTCCTGTGTCCACAACTGGCTCCTCAGCACCGTCGCGGACGACGTCCTCAACCTCACTCAAGAGCCGAATCAGACCGCCCGTCAGCTGTGGACAGCGATCTCCGCCCTCTTCCAGGCGAACAAGGCCTCCTGCGCCGTCTTCCCGAGTCACGAATTCTACTCGATGACTCAGGGAGACCTCTCCATCGACGACTACTACCAGAAGATGAAGACTACTACCGATGCTCTACGTGACATCGGCCACACCATCATCGATTCACAGCTCGTCCTCAACCCCCGCTTCTCCTGCACTACCGACAACATCACGGTCCCAATCCGCTGCCTTGACTTCGCCACTGCCCCGCGAAAAGCTCATCCTCAAGGAGTTCCATCTTGCCAACGAGGGCTAGGTAACGTCCCAAACAACCCTCTTCATAGGAGTTCCCTCCTGCAGCTCCGCCTGCCATGCGTCCATGTTCAGCCGAGGCGCCTCTTGCAGCGTTGGCGGTCGATTGAGCAACACTGACTGTGGCCAGGGAGGCCGCCCAGGCAACAGTGGTGGTGGCTCTAGCAACAGGCGAAAGGGTCACGGTGGTGGCGTGTCGGCCCCTCAATTTGAGAGTCCTCAGTGCATCTGTATTTGCGCTAGGATCACACACAAATACGCACTAATCACAGGGATGATACACAGATATATAACAAAAGGTTCCGAACTTTATTGATATATAAAATAAGGTCTACAACACTGGCCCAAGGGCATAATCCTAGGCTACATAGCTAGCAGAAGGCTACGGCCGTGAAACAACATTATTGGTGGTCTCTAAAGCGGAATTATAACACAACAAAATGGCATCCTATTCCACAGGCAACTTGAGCACAGACGAAACCCTAGCCTCGATGTCACATTCCTACAATCGTATCTCCTTACGGGAAACCTAATCCTCGTGGTACTTTTCATCTTCGAAGTCATAGTCTTCTTCTGTGCCGAGGTCTGTGAGTCAACAACGGGTGAGTACATACGTAATCAGCAAGTCCCAACCATAGAGTGGAAATAGAAGTGTACTGGTGATTATAATTATGGATTGGGTCCTAGCAGAGTATTACCATTCTCACTAGTACCCGGGTTAGCATCAATTCCATTACCAGTTTCATTACACATAAAAGTAAAGCTAATCATAGTATCCCATCCTAGCATTTTCCCATTCCAAGGACGTGGCTATTCGAATAGATTTAATAAACTCTATAGAGATGTACAAATTTCCCCACATGATAGGTGCAAGCTCATCCTTGATCAGTGGACGAAACAGACCTAACAAGACCTCGTACCTGAATGTACGTGACCTTAGATGTCCATATAACTCTACTACTGCTTCTCAAGGGTTGGAGACATAAAACCGGGAAGATACCAAATCCCCCCAAACATGATGATACCAAATCATCAGAAAAGAAAAACATGGCTCGAACATGGCCAAGAAAACAGTGGCTCAAACGCGGCCTAAAAACCAAAAGCTTAATGTGGAAGATCACATAGCAACCACGCCAACCGGATACAGAAGAAAACCTATCCCCCGTATCGGCTACTGATATTCCGCTGCCTACACCGGCCTCCTAGTAGATATTATACTTCTATCTAACAGGGTGTGAGATCAAGCCTACCCATATAGACATGTGGCTGTACGAAAATAACTCACTAGGCGAGAGGGACTACGAACCGGTCCTTATGTGACCGAGGTGAGTATCTCCCACAGGAATCTTCTCTAGGCATTCCTGCCATGATAAAGTACCTCCATAGTTTACTATGACTCGCCCCATGTTGGGGTTTAGTTCAGGTTTAACAAGTTTTAAGTTCTATTATTATCCCTAAATCTAGTCATGGTGTGGAGCTCATAAAATAACAAGATAACCATTTATCTTAATTATATCGCATTAACCGAGCTCATTTTCTAGGGTAATAATCTCATAGTCATGTTTTAGCATATCGGTGGTTTAAAGCAAGATGGTAGGGAGGGGAGCTAGGACTTGCCTTCGTCATTGACACTTTCTGGCACGTCTATGAAATTCGGGTCTTCGCCCTCCTGATGATTACTGT